TTAGATTGTTTATTTTATATTTTTCTTGTTTGTTGAGCTAGGCCTGTATTGCTATAAACTTCCCTCCTAGGACTGCTTTTGCTGTATCCCATTGATTTTGGAGTGTTGTATTTTCATTCTCATTTGTGTCCAGGTATTTTTCTACTTCTCTTTTGATTTCCTCATTGACCCAATTGTTGTTCATTAGAATTTTGTTTAATCTCCACATATTTGTGTCTTTTCTGATTTTCTTCCTGTAGTTGATTTCTAGTTTCATAACTTTGTGGTCAGAAAATATAATTGGTATTATTTCAACCTTCTTAAATTTATTGAGACCTGTTTTGTGGCCTAATATGTGATTAATTCAGGAGAATTTTCCATGTGCATTTGAAAAGAATATGTATTCTGTGGTTTTTGGATAGAATGTTCTGCATGTATCTACTAAGTCCATCTGGTCCAATGTGTCATTTAAGGCCAATGTTTCGTTATTGACCTTCTGTTTGAATCATCTATCCATTAGTGTACATGGAGTGTTAAAGTCCCCTACTATTATTGTGTTGCTGTTTATTTCTCCTTTCATGTCTGTTAATAATTGCTTTATATATTTAGGTGCTCCTCTGTTGGGTGCATAGATATTTACAAGTGTTATCTCCTCTTGCTGGATTGTTCCCTTTATCATTATGTAATATCCTTCTTTGTCTCTTGTTACAGTTTTTGTTTTAAAGTCTATTTTGTCTGATAAAAGTAATGCTATCTCAGCTTTCTTTTCTTTGACATTTGCATGGAATATGTTTTTCCATCCCTTCACTTTCAGTTTGTGAGTGCCTTTAGGTCTGATGTGGGTCTCTTGTATGTAGCATATTTATGGGTCTTTTATTATCCAATCAGCCACCCTATGCCTTTTGATTGGAGCATTTAGTCCATTGACATTTAAAGTACATTTTGGTAAGTACATACTTTTTGCCATTTGGTTACTTTTTTTCTGGGTTTTTTAGCAGTTCTTCTCTCTTCCTTTTTTCTTTTATTGCTCTCTTCCTTCATGGTTTTATGGCTTTAGTATTATGCTTTCCTTCCTTTCTCTTAATTATTTGTGTATTTATTATAGGTTTCTGGTTTATGATTACCATGTAGTTTATATATTATAACCTATGTATACTACAATCTATATTGAGTTGATGGTCTCTTTCACTTGCCTCTTTCTAAAAGCTGTACTCTTTTACTCCCCTCCTCCCAAATTTTATGTTTTTGATATAATATCTAACCTCTCTTTGTGTGTGTGTGTGTATATCCACTACCCTCTTTTGGAAATGGGTAATTTTAGTACTTTTGTGTTTTGACCTTCATATTATCTTCATAGGTGGTTGATCTGCTGTCTTTACTGTATTTTTGCCTTTACCAGTGATTTTATTGGAGTGTTTTTTGGATAATTCTGTTATTCCTATTTGTGGTCTTCTCTTTCCCACTTAAATAAGTCCCTCTAGTATTTCTTGTAGAACTGGTTTCTTGGTGATAAACTCCTTTAGTTTTTGCTTATCTGGGAAATTCTTTATCTCTCCTTTCATTCTGAATGATAACCTTGTAGCTGTGTAGAATATTCTTGGCTGTAGGTTTTTCCCTTTCAGCACTTTAAATATATCATGCCACTCCCTTCTAGCCTGTAAGGTTTCTGCTGAGAAGTCAGCTGAGAGCCATATGGGGTTTCCTTTGTATGTAACTTGTTGCTTTTCTCTTGTAGCTCTTAGGATTCTTTATCTTTAATTCTTGACATTTTAATCATAATCTATCTTGGTATGGGCTTTTTTGTGTTTTCTTGTTTGGCGCTCTCTGTGCTTCCTGTACGTGGATGTCTGTTTCCTTCCTTAGGTTATGAATGTTTTCAGCTATTATTTCTTCAAATAGATTCTCTGCCCCTTTGTCTCTCCCTTCTTCTTCTGGGACACCTACAATACAATTGTTAGTGTGCTTAATGTTGTCCCAGAGTTCCCTTTAGCCTGTTCTTGTTATTTTTGATTCTTTTTACTTTCATCTGTTCAGCTTGGGTAATTTCCTCTAGTCTTTTGCTGATCCATTCTTCTGTATCATCTACTCTGCTACTGAATCCCTCTAGTGAATTTTTTATTTCCAGTATTGTATTCTTCATTTCTGATTGGTTCTTTTTTATATTCTCCAATTCTTTGTTGAAGTTCTCACTGAGTTCATCCATTCTTCTCCCATGACGAGTGAGCATCATTATGACTTTTTCTTTGAAATCCAGTAGATTGTTTATTTCTGTTTCATTTAGTTATTTTTTCTGGTGTTTTGTCTTGTTCCCTTTCTTGGAACATATTTCTTTGCCTCCTCATTTTGCCTTTCTCTGTGCTTATATTTATGTATTAGGTGGGTCAGCTACATCTCCTGATCATGGAGAGATGACGTTATGCAAGAGATCCTTTATGGGGCCCAGCAGTGTACTTCCCTCTCATCACCAGTTCCAAATGTTCCAGGGCTGTCCTCGGTATGGGCTATGTGTGTCTTTCTGTTGTGGCAAGGTTGCTCTTGCTCTAGGTGTTCAGGGAGGCTAGTCTATCCCCCTGGCTGGCTGGTTGTAATGCTCAGCTGCATGTAGCTGCTATGGACCCTTCAGTCACCTTTTTGGGCATGGGGAGCCCCAGCACAGTTGGCTGCAAGGTTTAATAGCACATTCCTGTTGCAGTTTTTCTGTTAACTGAATAGGTCCCCAGTGTGGCTGGCTGCTAGGCTCAGGGGGTTACAATTGCCATAGACCTCTAGCCTGCAAGGCTGTTTTCAGCTGTCCTAGGATTGCAGCTGAGTGGGGCTGGCCCCAGGCATGGGCGCACTCAATTGTTTCAGGTTTTGGAAAGTGGGGCTGATCCCCTATCTGGCTGTTTGAGAAACACAAGTCTTCTGCCACTGACTAGCCCCACCACTCACAAGGCCATACACACGATCAACACCATCCTGCCACATGTTTGTGCTGCAACCCCCTGAAGTGGACCAAGTCACCCACTGCAGAGGCCCCACACACTCCACTAATGCTCCACACACTCCACCTGCTCCTCATGAATGCTCTGCCCAGTTAAGGGCAACCCACTGGCCTGGCTGCAGAGGATCCAGGAAGCCAGCCTATGCTGGTCCACAAGTCTCAAAGGGCCTGCTATTCCTTGGGCCAGTCCCTAGCGCAAGCTGCCTGCCCTGGCTGAACTGGATTAAATTGGTGTTCCAGTGGGTGGTGTAGACCCTGTGCTAACAGGCCAGGGGAAGAACTCCAATGGTGTCTGCCAGCGTCTGTGTCAGCACACCTGTATTAGGTCACAATAATGGTTGCTGCTAATGTCTCAGTCCCTGGAGAGGTCTCACCTCTCACTGAGATGCACCCAGAGCCTATCAGGTGAGTCTCTTTTCAAGAAAGGACTGTTCACCTTTCTTCCTGCTGATTTTAGGTTGCTTTAAAAAACTGGTGAATTTGTGTGTGGGCCCTTCAAGAGCCATCTTTTTTCCACTTATGCCCCATAGCTTTTCTATGGGTATTCCCTGCAGTAGTTACTAGCCAGCAAAGCTGGATATATTATGACACTTGTCTCAGCAGTACTGAGTCCAAAGGATGCTTATAGCAGCAATGCTCCCCTACGCAGGTCCCCCATTCCTCCAGGGAAGGCTGCATACCTTAGGATTACTCTTGGCCAGCCACGAAGCTCCTTGGCTTGTGAAGGTGGCTTTTTTTCTCTCCAGAAAGAGACCTCTGTCTCTTCCACTTCAGTCAAGACTGTCCCTTGTTGTGGGGGTTCTTTTTATCCAGTTTTCAGTTCCCTCTCAGGGATAATTGTTCCAAGAATCGTTGTACATTGGTTGTACCCATGGGAGGAGGTAAGTTTAGAGTCCACCTACACCACTATCTTGACACCAACACTGAGGTGTCTTTTAAGGCCTCAAATTTGTTCTATCTTGGTGAATGTTCCATGTGAGCCTGATAACAATGTGTATTCTGTTGTTATGGGATGAAGTATTCTATAGATGTCCATTAGATCCATTTGACTGATAATGCCCTTGAGTTCAACTACATCCATACTGTTTTCTGCCTGGTGGATCTGTGCATTATTGTAGAGGGATGTTAATGTCTCCTGCCATAACAATGGATTCATTTATTTTTTTCTTACAGTTCTCTCAGTTTTTACCTATCATATTTTGATGCTCTGTTGGTAGGTGCATACACATTAACCATTGCTATGCCTTCCTAGAGAAGTGACCTCTTTATCATTATATAATACCCCTTTATCCCTGATAAGTTTTCCTTGATGTAAAGTGTGCTGTCTCTGAAATTAATATAGTTACTCCTGCTTTCTTTTGCTTAATATTAGCATGGTATTTCTTTCTTCATCCATTTGCTTTTAATCTATATGTGTCTTTATACTTAAAGTGGGTTTCCTGTAGACAATATATAATTGGGTCTTGTTTTTTGATCCACTCTGACAATCTCTGTCTTTTAATTGGTATATTTTCACCATTGATGTTTAAAGTGATTATTGATATATTTGAATTAATATTTATCATAATTGTTACTGTTTTCTATTTGCCTCTCTTGTTCTTTGTCCCATTATTGTCTTCCAGTCTTTTTCTGCATTTTTTTCATTTTTAATTGAGCATTTTATATGAACCTACTTTTTATCCTTTCTTAGCATATCAGTTATACTAATTTTTTTTTTTTTGCCATTTTTAGTGCTTGCCCTACAGTTTGCAATATACATTTACAACTAATCTAAGTCCCCTTTCAAATAACACTATACTGCTTCATGGGTAGGTTGAGTCCATTATAATAACAAAATAATCCTAATTATTCCCTCTCATCCCATATATCATTGCTGCCATTCATTTCACTTATGTGTAAGCATACATATATATACATAATATATGGTATACATTCCATCATACGGAATACTTTTTTGCTATTATTATTTTCAACAAACTGCTATCTGTTAAACTGATTAAGAATAAGAAAAAATAAAAGTTTTTATTTTACCTTCACTTATTCCTTCTTGATACTCTTCCTTTTCTCAAATTAGAAGAAAAGAGGCAACTGCAAAACAAAATGAGAGCATTTATTTGGGGTCTTAGAGTTGAAATTTGGGGAAGACAGGTTCTTGCAGCAGCCAGAATAGTGTCCCCTTGATGAGTAAAAGTCAGGAATTTTTATTAGCAAAAAGGAGATCCCAGACATATTACCTCAATTGTTTGTTGAGATTTATGATTAGAGGGTAAATTTTTGTTACAGTTCATTGGCGTACTCAAGGACATCTTCTTACCAGAAAAAGTATATTTTTGCACAGTCCTTCAGAAAGTTCTTTCTTTGCAAATAACTCCCTTTTGGAAACTCAGCCAGGTAAGCACAGTTTCATATTTTTAACAAGATGGAGTCCAGAGTACAAAATGTAGTCACTGCTGACAACTTGTTTCACACTTTTTTTATGCAGATCTGAATTTCTGACCTATATTATTTTCCTTCTTTCTGAAGAATTTAACATTTTTTTTGCATGGCAGGTCTACTGGCAACAAAGTCCCTCAATTTTGTTTGTTTAAGAAAGTCTTTATTTCTCCTTCACTTTTGAAGGATAATTTCACTGGGTAAAGAATTCTAGATTGGTGGGTTTTTTCTCTCAACACTACTTATTTCACTCCACTCTTCTTGCTTCCATGGTTTCTGAGGAGAAATCAAATGTAATTCTTATCTTTGCTACTCTATAAGTGAGGTGTCTTTTTCCTCTGGCATCATTCAAGATTTTTTTCTTCATATTTGGTTTTCTGCAATTTTAATAAGATATGTCTAGGAGTAATTCTTTTGGTATTTATCCTGCTTGGAGTTCTCTGATCTTCCTAGGTCTGTGGTTTGGTGTCTGATGATAATTTGGGGGAATTCTCAATCAATATGGTTTTAAACCATTCTTCTATTCCTTTCTCTCTTTCTTCTCCTTCTGGTATTCCCATAATGTGCATGTTACACTTTTTGTAGTTGTCCCACAGTTCTTGGATATTCTGTTATCTTTTCTGTACTTTTTTCCAAAAGTCATATTTGTTTATTTTCTTGTATACATTGAAAGTTTATTTTTAGTAGAATAAGAAACCCTCATACACTGCTTGTGGGAATGCAAACTGTTGCAGCCACTATAGAAAACAGTACGGAGATTTCTCCAAAAATTAAAAATAGAAATACTATATGATCCAGCTATTCCACTTTGGGGAATTAATCAAAGAATATGAAAACACTAATTCAAAAAGATATATGAACCCCTATGTTCATTGCAGCAATATTCATAATAGCCAAGATTTTTCAGTAGTTTTTACTCTTTGCTTTTCAGTTTTGGAAATTTCTTTTAACATATCCTCAAGCTCAGAGATTCTTTCCTCAGCCATATTCAGGCTACTAATAAGCCCATCAAAGGCATTCTTCATTTCTGTTACAGTGTTTTTGATTTCTATCATTTCTTTTTGGTTGTTTCTTAGAATTTCCATTTCTCTGCTTCCATTGTCCATGTTCTTGCATGCTGTCTACTTCATTCATTAGAGCCCTTAGCACATTAATCACAGTTGTTTTAAATTTCTAGTCTGGTAATTCCAACATCTCTACCATATTTAAGTCTGGTTCTGACACTTGCTCTGTTTCCCCAAAATATTTTTGCCTTTTAGTATGCCTTGTAATTTTTTCTTGATAGCCAGGCTTGATGTAGTGTGTAAAAGAAACTGCTATAAATAGGCCTTTAGTAATGTGGTGTGAGATGTGAGGGGAGGGGAAGCATCTATAGTCCTATGATTAGGTCTCAGTCTTTTAGTGAGCCTGTGCCTCTAGACTGTGAACTTCACAAGTGCTTCTCAGTTCTTCTCCCCTTAGGTGGGACAGGATGGCTAAAGTGGGCTGGAGTTGTGTATTTCTCTTCTTACACATAGAAGGGTAGAGAGGGCTAAAGTTGGGTATTTACTCTCCCTCAGCTCAGTTAGTCTCTGAAAAACTCTTAATAGTTTAGAATCTGGTCAAACACTTTTATTGAAGGCAGACCTTGCTAAGAAAAACAGAATGCTCTGGCATACTTCAAAATAGTTACTTTTTCCCTCCCCCTGCTGGAAGTATGAAGGGATTTTTCTCCAATATTTACTTTGAGGACCTAATATGGCTCTTCGAGGTAAAATTCACAAAAGTGTGGGGACTTCCCCAAGACTGGGTCTCCCTGGAGCTTTCAACTTTCAGACTTGTCCACATGGAGCCTCTAGCAACTCAATAATTACAGTTTAGGTTTTCCTAGCCCAGTACTGTTTCTTGCATAGGTTTCTGCTCTGGTAAGCTGTAATTCTTTGTATTCACCTGTCTGTCTCTCCAATTTGGGAGGCAGTGGTTTGCCTTGTGACTTCACTTCTCTAATCATCTAAGAAGAGCTGTTTGCTCAGCTTTTTACTTGTTGTTAGGATGGAGTGACTACTTCCAAGTTCCTTACGTGCTGGACTGGAAATTGTTAGTCTCTATTTGCTTTGTAATTCTGTCTCTTTGTATTTTAAGTGTTTCTCTAAGTATTATAATACCTAAATTTTCATAGACAAATTAGTTAATATTTAACAACTTCTAGTAAAATGCAGAACACCTGAAACCATATAAGTTTTGACATCTACCTATCACTGACCTTTTTTTTTATAGCTGTCATAAAAAATCCCATATAGTGATGTTATAAGTTTGGCTTTCAACATTCATACAAATTTTTTAAAATATTAAAAGGAAAAGATAATGCTTTTTACTCAGATTTTTCCTTGATGCCTTAAGAACCAAATCCCTTTGATATCCTATTCCTTTAACCTGAATATCTTCTATTAGCATTGTTTGTTTTTTTTTTTTACCAGATCTGCTATCAATGATTTCTCTTAGTTATTCCTCCTCTGACAATGTCTTTATTTTACTTTCATTCTGAAGAATATTTTCCCTGGATATAGAATTCTGTATTAACAGTTCTTTTCTTAGAGCACTTTAAAAATGTTGTTCCACTGTCTTGTGGTCTCTATGGTTTTAATGAAAAGCCCAGTTACTCAAATCATTTTCCACTGCAACTGCTCTGTCCTTTTTTTACTAGTTGCTTTCTCGATTTTTTTTAATATGTGGTTTTCACCAGTTTTATTATGACTTGGACATGTTTTTCTCTGAGTTTATCCTCGTTTGGGGTTTTCTGAGTTCTCTGCTTGCTTACTCCTCACCTCACAGACCCACAGACATGAATATTAGAATTTTTTATGTTGTCTTAAAGATCCCTCTTTTCTTCTAAATTTTCCTCTTTTCTTCAAATTGAATAATTTCTTTTGCTCTAACTTCAAGTTCATTGTCTCTTTTCTCTGTTATTTCCATTATGCTAATGAGTCTATCTAGTGAGTTTTTCAGATATTACATTTTTCAGTTCTATAATTTACATTTGGTTATTACTTTACAGTTTCCATGTCTCTGGTGAACTTCTATCTTTCCATTCACTGAAAGTATTTTTACCTTTATCTCATGGAGTATAGTTAAAATATCTGCTTTAAAGCTTTTGATAATTCCAACGTTTTGATCATCTTAGGATTGGCATTATTGCATTATTTTTTATGTTGAACATTTGTCATGTTTTCCTGGTTCTTTTCGTGTTGCATAATTTTGGATTATATCTTGAATTTTTAATGTTATGTTGTGTAGACTCTGTATTTTGCTTTAATCCTCTGGCAATTGTTATTTTTCTTGCTGTTTTTTTTAAATAGACAATCAATCCAGTTATGTTCAAACCACAAGTTCTGTCTTGCATTCTGTGAGCAGGGATCTAATCTCAGTTCAATTTTTAAGACCATTCTTAAATTACTTTTGTTCTGTCTCATGCATGTATCACTCATGGGTTAGTCTGAGACTGGGATCATGGTTTAAAACTATTCCATTTTTAAGGCTTTTGTTAAGCTGCTTTGAGTCTGTCCCAATTACGTGCAGTTCAGCAGTAAGCCCAAGATTTTATAGGTTTGTATACAGAATTAAAGGATCCTCTTCTCTTGTTTTTCACTTCTCTTAACCCCCCTCCAACTCTTCCTGGGCCACAAGGTCTCTTTTCTCATTTTCTGTGACCCAAAATATGGGCTTTTAATTGGGATTTCAGCCGTCCATGTCACTGCTCTGATGTGCATCTCCTTGACTTTTGTTTACTTTTGTTTTCTTCTCAGAGTCCTTGGGGGTAGTTGGTTTCTGCATTCATACAGAATTTTTAGTTGTAATCAAGTAGAGAAATAGGCTTCAGGTTCTAGCCTGCCATGCTAGATGAAGAAGTCTTGAATGGCCTTTTAAGTCACTTAACTCCTCTTAGACTTGGTTTCTTTATCTGTAGAATGTGAGTAATAATCCTTGTCCTATTAATTTCAAAATTGTTGGAATGGTAAAGTGAGATAATGTATATGAAGGGATTAGTATATATTAACATTTCTCTTGCTGACACAGTTCACACTCAGTATGACTGCTAAGTAATGGAAAAATCTTCTAAAAAAATTAGTAATTTTTAACTTTTTATTTGGAAATAATTTTAGACTTCTAGAAAAGTTGCAAAAATAGTACAGAGAGCTGATATATATCCTTCACCTGGCCCCCCAATGTTAATAACTTACATAACCAGAACACAGTTATCAAAACCAGGAAGTTAACAGTTAATTTGATGCTATTAACTGAATTACAGATGTTATTTCAATTTCACCAATTTTTCTTTGAATGTCCTTTTTCTGTTCTAGTGTCCAATTCAAGAACCCACATTGGATTTAGTTGCTGATACTTCTTAGTTTACTACAATCTGCAGTGGTTCCTCAATCTTTTGTCTTTTATGATCTTGACATTTTTGATGAGTACTCATCAAATGTTTTATAGAATGTCTCTCAATTTGAGAACATCTGATATTTTCTCTTGATTAGATCAAAGTTATAGTATTTTGGCAAGAACATCACAGAAGTGATGTTGTGCATCACATCCACATGAAGTTGGCACATTTTATTATTGGGAATGTTAAATGTTAACCTTGATCTCTTGGTAAAAAATGTATCTCCAGGGTTTCT